CTTCCACCCTTCGCTTATTCGATCGACCTACTTAATTGTCTTAGATTTGCTTAATTCATTCTATTCGTTCGGCCTATCGGCTCCCCCGTTTTCCGACGATGTAACGTGCGACCACCGGACACAGGGTGGCGACACAGCGGCTTACGCTGGCAGGCATAAATGCCTCCCCTTATAAGTTGAAGAAAACTTCAACCAATGCCTTTTGCACGTGTGTCACTTATTTCAAGAGGGCTGACCCTTAACATCTCGCCTTTCAGGCAGTAGAAATACCTCTTGGAACAACTATCCGGGAGGCCGCAGCCTTCGCCTGTTCTCGTGGTCTGCGTCCCCCTACCCTTCCCTTCCACATTTTACATGGTCTATAATGCAGATAAACTGTTTTGGACGTACTTCATTTAGTTCATTAGCGCAACAAAGTGAATGATGCACTGTTTCATAGAGCGTGGCATGCGACCACTGGGCACAGAGAATCGAGACATTGCAGCATGCGTTAGTTGGCGGAAAGGCCTGTCTCCATGTGCTCGACGAGCAGTTGAAGTTTGTCTATTTGTCAATTCACCCTACACTCTACAAAGGTTCCTGCTTAACAGTCTGCCTCTCGCGCATTCGACAGGCATCTTGAAACCAATGGTCAGGGTTGCGACGCTCATTCAATTCAGGGTGGTCGATCACGCAGTTTTAAACTAGTTAGTATTGGAAGGCTATGCAACGCTTGTCAGAGCACCTGGAACTCGCCGTAGTAGAATATATCACGCAGCACAGTGAATTTGCTCGGTGGAGACCAAGGCCCTAGTCAGAAGCCCAAAGTACAGCAACGAAGGGGCATAGAATGTTCCATAGGCGAACTACTGACTGATAGCTCTTATCATACACTTTGTCATTTCCTTATTCTGATTCTCAGCAAGGGATCCTAAACTTCCCTAACCATCTTTCCGACTATCTGCGCCTCCAGTTGGCTGCCAATAGTCTTTTAGTGCAATAGCCGCTGCCTACAGGGTCAAGCGGTCAGAAGGAGGTACTGAGACCGACTGAACGACGAAGGCCGCTGCATTTGTCTGTGGGAATAGAGCACTGCAGCGTCGTTGCTCTCACCGGGGCAGCACCTGGAGAGGGGCCGACAGGCTGCGCCTGTGCTTCCCCACTGTCTCCTGCCTATCCTTATGTGCCTGCAAATTCCTGCACATGGACGGCGCATGAGGGACAGAAGCAAGTTGATGCTCGGTAGCCGCAATTATTCCCGAGGAAACCTCGAAGACCAGTGGCCGCTTCTGTTGTTGTGCGCTGTAGCTGTGTCCACTCGCCTACGGAGAAACATCACCTATACTAGCATGCGGAAACTATGCCTGTTTGTCTGAATGAGTGCTGTTACGTCTACTGGCTTATGGAGAAGCATCACCTGCAATAGCATGCGGATACTACCTATGCTTTTCTGGTCTAGTGCTGTTACGTCTACCCTCATACGGGGAAACATCACCTGCAGTAGCATGCATTTCCTACGCATCCTTCTCTGATCTACTGCTGAGTTGCATACGGAAAACTCTTCTGCTGCTGGAAAGCAGTCACTTCCGAACAAAACACGCGTAGCCAAAACTTAAGGAGTTTATCCACAAGAGCTCAGGACAGGGAGCGGTTCAGGGTTCAGCGAGATTCCAACTGCAGGCTGAAGAGGCAACCGCCTCTCTCCTGTCCTTGAGG